CTCGCCCGTCTGCTGCCGCCACGCAAGCCGTCATGTGGTGGTGGTGGTTGTGGCCCGACTCCGCCTCTGGTGGATCGTGCGAGTGACGCGCTCGACGAGGAGGGGGAGAGGGAGACCAGGGAGAGCCGCTGGCGAAGGCTCCTCCAGCTCGAGAAAGATACTCTTTCTCGTGTCGTCGTGGCTTCGAGCGACAGCGATGCAAGCGATGACGACACCAGCAATAGCGGCAGGGAAAGCGATGAAGACGACGACGATCAGGAGGAAGCGCTGCGACTCGTGCAGTACAACCTCGACGTGGAGAGTACGCGCGCGGTGGGATGATGATGATGGTGCGTGGCACACAATACACTTTACATGGTGAGGCGTGATCAACTTTCTTTCTTCCTTTTTATGGAGTTGAGAGCTTGGCGGTGAGGATGATGTGGTAGATGAAGCTGGCCGACTGGAGCAGCATGACGTCGGACGAGAAGTAGCGCGAGAACACCACGCTCCGCGGCGCGAAGGCGAAGTGGAGGACGCTTCGTCCGACCGTGTCCATCATGTAGGACACCACCACGAGCAGCGGAAACATGAGGAAGCACGACGACACCTGTCCGATGAACGTTCTCCGTGTCAGTATCACGTGTGTGTTGTTTGTTGTGTGTGGTGTGTGGTGTGGTGTGTGTGTTGTGTGAGTGGTGTGTGGCGTGTGTGTGGTGTGTGTGAGTGGTGTGTGATACCCCAATGGCGAACTTGAAGCGGATGGGGGAGGAGAAGAAGGAAGAGGCCACGAGGAGGCAGGCGAGGTGCGGCAGGAGGAAGGCAATGTCGGTGGTGCCGAAGATGAGCGCCCACCACATGGTGTTCACCAGCCGCGTGCACAGCGGATACGCCCGGCCGTCGGTCAACCTTGCCGCCTCGCCTGCGCGTAGCTGTGTCAGCAGCATGTGCGTGTGCGTGTGCGTGTGCGATGGTGTGCGTACGGTCGATGGTGTCGGACTTGGCTTTGGCGGTGGAAGCGAGGAGCATGAAGACCGTGCTGACGAGCGCACTGCTCTGCCGCACGTTGAAGAACGCCGCGAAGAAGACGAACACATGCAAGGCCGTCTTCAACTTCGCATCAGTTCCCTGCGTGTTCGCACACACCTACTCGTCAGCACACCACCGCACACGCACACGCACACGCACACACGCGCAGCGCACGCATGCGTTACCTCGAAGGCGGGGGTGACGCCGTTGCCGCCGGCGACGGCCATGTAGCGGAGGAGGGCGATGAGCGCGACGAGGACCACCAGGTCGACCCACCAGCTCGAGAGGAAGACGAAGAACAACGGGCTGCGCTCGAGGATGGAGGCCAGCGTCACGAACGAGTGGCTCTGGGGGTACTGATGAAGATGAAGGTAATGAGGGTGGTGGTAGTCGTGGCCAACTCCAGAGGCGTGTAGCGTCGAAGATGATGATGTTGATTGGGGCGACATGACGGCACCGAGTTGGTTGAAGATGAGAGGAACGAGGATGAGGGCGGTGGTCTGCCAGGCCTGCTTGGGCGTGCATAGCTCGAGCGAGGGCGGGAGGGGCGCGAGCGGGATGGAAGGAGATGGCGGAATCGAGGATGAGGAGAAAGATCGCGAGGGCAAAGGCGAACGCGAAGCAAATGATTTAAGGCGCTCTGGTGTTTGCGTGGATGACGATGAGGCCGGAGGCTTAAAGCTCCAACTGTACTTGACCGCAGCCGTGTCCATGTTGTGTGGTTAGTTGTACCTCGAATGCTGTGGCCAAGCGCTCACATCTTGAAGCCACGAGCACCCACGAAAACTCATTTGCTTTTGGTGGAAGAAAAGCAATTTTCATCCCACTTTCTTTTCTTTCCTTGTAATTCACGTTTCGGCGGAAGAGAAAAAAACCAAAATTGTTGGGGCCGTTTCAGCGGCCCGTTGCTGCCTCGTCTTCTTCGCGTGATGCTGGGTGGGCACCCTCCTCCTTTGGCTCCTCTCCGTCGCTGGTCGTCGGGTCGTCGCTTCCCAGCTCCTCCACTCCCTCCTCAGCCGCCGCTTCTTCTCCTTCTCCATCTTCTTTCTCTTGTTTGGTGTCGCTGTCGCTGCCCCAGTCTATGAGCAGACCAGTCCCGGTGGCGCTGGCGCTGCTGGTGGAGGTGGAGGTCGGTGGTCGGAAGGAGTCGATGAACTCCTCGTCCTCCGCGCTGCTGGGCCGCCGCATCAACGCCGGCGATGCCGCTGCAGCGGCGGCGGCGCCCGACTTGAAGAACGTCCAGTCGTCGTCTTCCTCCTCTTCTTGGCCGTCGCCGGCGGCAGTGGCGGTTGCGGCGTCGCCGCTGTAGCCGTCGGGCTGCAACGGAATGGCGGCCTGCTGGGCCAGCACCGAGCTGATCCATGACGCCCGTCTCGCGCGGTGGAGGCGCGACTGCGACCCGCCGGCCGCCGGTGGTGCGACCGAGGCCTCGGGGGAGGTTGGGAGCGCGGACGACGCATCAGCGGATGGCTGTGTGGCTGAGGAGTTGGGCGGGGTGGTGGGCGAGGCCGGCGTGGCGGGTCCTGAGGGCACCGACGACGACGCGCCCGTGGGCCGAGTGGTGGGTGCCACCGCCTCCTCGGGTTTGCGCAGCGAATCGCGCTCGAGGCAGAGCAGGGCGGCAGAGGCCGCTTGGAAGGTGGCCAGCGAATAGCCTTCGATTTGCATTTGCTCGCGCTCACCTGTTACACCGTCACGATGTCGGTTGAGCGTGCGTCGTGTCGTGTCGTGTGTGACGAGCTTGACGTTGAGTGGATGATAAGGTGGAGTACCGATGAAATCCTGCATGTACATACTCTCCGTGTGGACCGTCTCCAGTTTGCTCTTGATCACCACGTACAAGAGGATCGGCAACAGATCATCACACGATCTGTGTTGTGTGTGTGTGCGTGTGTGTGTGTGTGTGTGTGTGTGGCACCAATATGGATTAACATCCCCGAGCTCCACTCCTTCTTCTTCTCGACATGCGCAGCAGCAGAGCGAGACGCGTACACGGCGATTTCTGGTCCTGTGGGATCACGTTTGGCCCAGTACTCGTTCACGCAGCCGCAGATGATGCGGCTGGTATCGACCAGACAGTTGAGCTTGGCTGGGTAAAGCCCGCGGGCGGGTTAGCCCATCCATCAGACTGATGCGATGTGTAGGCGGAAATGAAGAGGAGGGAACGATGATGGTACCGACGGGCGTGGCCAGCTCGGTGATGGCGGTCATCATGTTGATCGCCTTCTGGTAGGGCTCGCCGCCCGATCGACCCTCCCCGCCTACAATAACAATGAGCGCAATTCGAGTAAGCAGGCCGGACGAGTCTGGTGTGCTGCAACGCTTTGGTTCGCGTCGGGGCGGGAGCGCGGGAGTGCGTAGGTACCCTTCTTGTCGTCGAGTAGCCAGAACTTGGGGTTATCGATCAGGTCGGGGGTGGTGATGTCGGCGAACTCGGCCATCTTTTGCGTGAACTTGCGGTCTTCGGCAATGTACTGCACAATAATTGTCACGAAGAAGAGGGTCAGTACATCGAAAGAGTATACACCTAAACAGGCATCGTGCGCACCCGCTTGGTGTAGACTGGATAGACGATGTCGTAGAGCAACGAGAAGACGCAGTGCTCCGCGGCCAGGCGCGCGGTGTGCACGAACTGTTCCACATGCGCCACCTCCCCGCCGTAGTAGTGCTCCACAGTAATGATCAGGCGATCTGGGTGCGTCGTCGCTGGGCGTGAGTAAACAGCAGCTTGCGTCGATGTAGAGCCTGAGTGAGTGAGCAGAAGGGTGTACCCAAGAACGTCTGAATCTCCTGCGTGATCTTGGCAAGGGCAGTCGAGGGCCTGGCGGAAAGAATGCGGTCCTTGTGACGCAGGAACTCGTCCGTGAAGTCTATCACGAGCTTGCCCAACGGATGGGAGTAGAGGCTACACACAAATACACACATACACACACACACACACACACACACACACAACACACGACACACACGACACGCGCGCGCGCGCACACACACACACACCAACAGTAAGCATCCACACGCACTGCACGCACCAACACGCACGACATGCACAGCGGGAGCACGTACCTGAAGACTTTGTTCATGTGACTGAAAATGATCACCTTCTGGGAATCGAGCTGCTGTTGTGTGGGCGACTTGTCCTCTTCGGCTGCCCCGTCCTCTTTCATCTGCTTGAGGAACTCCTCATCCAGCAACTTGTACACCTGTACACCACAGTCAGACAAACGCACGCAACACAGGACACACACACACACACACACACGGTGGAGTACCTTATCGTCTCCCGAGCCTGCCGCCATGGAGCTCAGCTTGGCGAAGAGTCCCGAGAAGGTACCATTGCGGTCCTTCGGTTTGCCTTCCTTCGACTTCTCGGGCGTCGACTTCTTCTCCCTCTTCTCGCGCTTGCTGCGTTCCTTGGGCTTCGTTGTGTCTGGCGCAGTCGCGGGCGTGGCGGGCGCCGTGGGCACAATCTCCTTCACCGCCGACGGCGATGTCTCCGCCATGCGTCGGAGCTCCTTGCGCACGCTCTGCAGCCAGGGCAACAGATCTTCGGCGCCTCTCGCGGCAAAGTAGTAGATCTTGTCATCCTTGAGCTGCAGACCAAACGAATGCCTGAAAACGGACAGCACCGGCGGAAGCAATGATTCAATGAAGAGTGAAGTGAGCTACACTGGTAGCCAGGGACAACAAAGGAGGTGAGTGGTACGCACTTCTTGCCGGTGTTCTTCTGGGCGTCGACCAGAAAGGCCTTGACTCTCGTCAGCGGAATGACCAACCGGGCCTGGAGTGGCAGACAAGGCGTGAGACTCGGTAACGATGGTGCATGGGTGGTCAAAAAATATATAATGGTGAATGGGTCAAGGTACCCGCGAGCTGGGCCCGTCAGACAGGTGAAGGCCCGCTTCTTTCAAGACGACCCAGGACTTGAGGAACCGGACCGACGGTCGCTCACACACGAAGAGCCACCCCTCGCAGTACTGTACACACGCATACCCACACGACCACACCAGTACCACACAACCGTCGATTAGTGCAAAGCAAGCAGGGCACCGATGGGAAAGAGCTCGGCGCGGGCGCACCTCCGAGTAGATGGGCTTCTCGGGCTCGCGCTCCTTCTGCTGTTGCCTCTGCTGCTGTTGCTGATCGCGCACCCGCCGCTCGGCCTGGGCCTTCTCCTTCTCTCGCTCTACGGCCGCGGCGGTGGGCGGCTCCTGTGGCAGCAAGCCGGCGCCGGGTCGCAGAAGGCTCTGCTGCGACGGCGTCTTCTGGAGGATCTGCGGGTACTGGGAGAAGTTCTGGTTCTGCTGCAGGTTCTGGTATCGCTGGAGGAAGGCCTGGTACTGCGGCGTCAGCTGCTGCGGCACGGCGTAGTACTGTTGCGCCGGGTACTGCGCCTGCACCGGTTGCTGCTGCTGCTGCTGTTGGAACTGCACCGGCTGGGCGTGTGGCAGGCTCTGCGATGTGAAGTACGCAGCTGGGAAGCGGTGCTGCTGGGCTGTCTGTTGCGATGAGGGTGGGTGGGGCTGGGTGGGTGGAGACGCGAAGGGAGAGAAGGCTGGCTGCACGTTCTGGGCAGTAGTCGGAGGAACGGAGAACGGCTGGTAGGGCTGCGGCTGCCGCGCGGCAGACGACGGGCCGGCGGTCGATCCAGGCGGTGCACCTGCTGGTGGTCCGACCTGGAAGCCCGCCGCCGGCGGAAAGCCGCCCGAGGGAGCTGCCTGCACCGGGTAGTAGAACATCGGCGGCGGTGCCGCGCCGGCGGGAAACTGAACAGGCGACTGCTGGCCTGTTCTCTGCTGTTGCTGTTGCTGCTGCGGTTGTGGTTGCGAATGCTGAGGAAAGAGCGGCAGTTGTGGCTGAAGTGGAGGAATGGTGGGGAAGCCCATGTAGCCTCCACCGCTCACGGACTGTGGCGATTGCTGTTGTCGCAGCTGCTGCGACGCCGGCGGAGGCTGCAGCGGAAGAGGGAACGCCGGCGCCGAGCCCATAGGCTGGTGCGTGGGCACGGCGGGGAAGGACGGCGCGAAGGGAGCACCCGCTGCGGGTGTCAGCACGGAAGGCGATGGCGAGTGCTGCGTGCTGTGCGGCTCTCGTCGGTCGCTCGCAGCTCGCGGTCGCGTCGCTTCGCCACCACCGCGCTCGGGGGTGGCGGTAGCGGCGGTGCCACGTCTGGGCGGCTGCTGCCTTTGTCGCTGGGCCTCGGCGACCTCCTCCCGCTCGGTCTGCTCGTAGAGGCATAGGTCGAGGTGGACGTCCACCTCAGCTTCCGGCATGCGCACGCCGCACACGGGACAGGCGACTAGCACGGCGCGGCGACGGAGAGATGAGAGATGAGCTGTTATTATTGCGTCTGCGTGCAGCATCGATGAATTGGGCATCAAAAGGCACCTTTTGTAACGCTTGAACGACTCTTTGGAAGATGCGTGATGGAAAGGCCACGATTAGTGCCCGATGCACAAAGTAAAGATGTAATTGTGCGCACGTACCATTGTGTGGAATGTCAGGCCGATCAAGCGGCAGAATCCAGGAGAGCGTGTTGAAGCTTTGGATGGATTGTTTTTGGCACGATCACAACCAGATAAGGCGCCTCCTGGTCCCAAGATGTTACTTCGCGGCCTGTGGGTGGGAAAATCGGCCAGAAATTCGACTTTCTCTTCTTTCCAGCCCTGGATGCTATGGACAAAGTTGAGGAAGGACCCCACGACCTCTTGGAGCCTCGTGTTGAGTTCGCCAACGGGCTGCCTGTGCCAAAGGAGCTCATGATACACATCCTCTGTTTCCTCATCCCTTCAGGCCTTGCGCCCAAGGCTTGTCGAGCTGCGGGCGAAGATGAGCAGCAACACGAAGATCTTAGGGCTTCTACCACTACCGAGCGGAAGCCGCTCCCACGACTCGAAGACGGAGTGCGATGGGTGTTTATGGGTGCGGGGCTGGTGTGCCGCGCATGGCACGACCACCTCACAGGCCACCCCGGGGGGCGACCACTCTGCATCGAGCTGTGGCGACAGCTGGCCTTGGCCTGCGGCTTCTGGCCACCAGGAGACGCTCCCCTCCCACCATCTATCGATCGAGACCAAGAGGATTGGCGTCAGTTCTTCATCCGTGGTAAGCTACCGCACACTAAGCCCGTGCCGGGTCTTTGGTCACTGACGGCATCAGCTGGTATGTCTGCACTCTAGAGTGCCAGCAGAACTGGACGTGGAGTGCGACAAGGCAGGTGGGCAAGCTCGGGCCAGAGCTGGGCGAGGCCCAGTTTCTGCTGACGGACCACGGCAAGAACGCCACGCTGTCCGTTCACACGGCGCTCGGCTGGGAGAACGCACGGGCGTGCGCGGCCATCATGACAGAGCGGGAGATCACCGACAAGCGCAACCGGATACGGATCCAGGTCAAGCGGGCGAGCGGCTTCTTCACGCTGGGCGTGTCCACCGGCCGCTCGCCGCCACAGCTGGACTACCGCCGCAGCTTTGTCGCCTTCGTCGCGTGGGACAACGAGATGGTCAGCTACGACATCACCGGCCAGCTCATCAACCCCTATCATGGATCAAGTACGACTACACGGGGTGTGCGCGCGCGTGTGTGTGTGGCGTGTGTCGCTTACGAGTTCTGGCGCGTGTTTCCGCCTCTGCCCGTTAGAGTGTTTCCCGGGGTTCGAGAGCGGCGACGAGATAGGGGCGCACGTCGAAGGGGACACGCTGCATTACTTTCGCAACGGGGAGGAGGTCGGGAAGACAGACATCGGGGCGCTGCCACAGCCGTGGCACTTCTACTGCGCGGTCAACTGCCAGGGCTCATCGGCGCGCATCCTTCGGGCCAGCGAACGGTCCGGGCAGAGCAGTGCTGCCAGTGTCGACCTGAGCGCGACCGTCACATAGCGGTAGTCCTTCCCTCTTCATGGTGCCAATCTTCGGCCGTGGAGGTCAGCGCGACCTTGGCCTGGACAGGATTGTAGACTACTATTTGTTCATGATCAGCGTGGAGGCTACAAGATGCACATCGGGCGGTTATAAATATGTGATTTAAATTACAATGAAGGAGAAGTGGAAGAGAAGAGAGGAGGCACAGCCAAGAGAAACCCTCCCTTCTTAGGCGAAGAGGGAAGCGAGGTAGGCGAAGATGGGCGAGGCCCTGAGGGAGGAAGCGGGGGAGGTGTAGGTGAAGCGGAAGACGTCGATGGTGTTGGTGTAGGCGACGGTGGTGTTGACGCCCGTGCTGTTGCCGCCGAGCGCTTCGTGGTAGGACCCGGGGCTGAACACCACCGCATTGCCCACCGCCGTGCTCGCCAGATAGGCGCGCGCTGCACGATCGGTCGGTCCGTCAGTCGGTCAGTTGGGTGACCACAGCACCAGTGGAACACACTGAGAGGGGGGGGGCGTACGTTGGGAGAGCTGGGCCACCGACCAGGTGCCGCTCTCGATGTGGTAGACGTCGATGCGCTGGGCGTAGGTCTCCTCGATGAGCTCCCAGGTGGTGGAGTTGTAGACCGAGTGGGTGATGCCGCCGGCAAACACGATGTAGTCCGTGGTGGCAGTCGCCGTGAGCATGCCGCGGGGGACCGACAGCTGCAGGGTGGTGCGCTTCTTGGTGGACAGGTTGAACAGGTCGACCGTCCTCGAGTAGGTCGCCACGATGGTGCCGTTTCCGGTGTCGGAGTAGTTGGCAATGCCGCCGCCGATCATCACAATGCCCTTGGCCGACGCACCGGCCGCGAAGCCGCGAGGCTCGGAAAGCTGGAACTGGGCCGATTCGACCTGTTGGACGATCGTCCAACACATTCGCAAGTGGTGAGAACAACACGACGCGAGCGTAGAGAGAGAGAGAGAGAGAGGCGAACGCACGTTGAGGTCCTTGTTGATGACGTCGACAGTGTCGAACACCTGCATCTTGGGGCGGTCGACACCGCCGGCGAACCAGGCCGTGCCATCGGTGGCGGTCACGCCGGCCACTCCGCTCCTGGCAACGCTCAGGCTGGCACCGGAGATGGTGTCCGTGTTGCTGTCAATAACGAACGCATCTACACAACGCAGGAGGGAAGTGGGTCAGTCAGTCTTCGACGGTCCACTCTGTTCGAGCCATGGGGCGCGTACTGCTGATGACAGAGCCGCTGGCGAGTTCGCCGCCGGCCCACACGGCGTAGCGCTTGTTGACGACGGCGCCGGCAAACTCAGTGGCGTCGGCCGGGAAGACGCTGCTTCCGTTGTAGGCCATGTAGAACGTCCACCTGGCGTCCTTGACCAGCGGCGCGTAGGTGCAGTTGGTGGCCGTGAACGCCCAGGCCTGGTTCGAGGCGACCTTGTCCGTCACTTGCATCAGGGTGAACGCCCTGCGACAAAGGCACACCGGTAAGCAACCATTTAATTTATACAGAAAAATACTAATTATGTGATTGGTGGAATAATTAAAAATAAGTTCGGAATGCAAAAAATGTGGCATTGCCGTTGGTGGGTACAGCGGGGTGAACCCTATGTGGGGTACCGTAGGTTGATGAGGAGGGCGACGTTGCCGGAGACGTTTCGGTTGCGAGGAAGGGAGTTCGAGACGATGATGCCCAGAGAGTCGTCGTAGACGGGCACTCGGACCATCGAGTTCAGGAAAGTCTCTAGCGGCCTGTTGTTGTGAGGCGCGAGAGGTTTCGTTACAGGAGGAAACACCACAGCAAGATGGACCGCTTCTTTTTCATCTTCAATCTATCTCTAATCTCCTTCTATCTACAAGTTTAGTTAGCTTTTATTAAAGATTAGAAGAGTTATTATTCGCCTTTTATGACTTAGGCCATTCATCTATGAAAGAGTTAGATTGGGCGGGGTACCTGTTGCCGCCGAACAGGGCGGGTCCGCCGCAGAGGGTGAAGGCGCCAAAGTGGTCGCCGTAGCTCCTCGGCCTGACGAAGGGACCTTGGGGCACGGTCGTGCCGGCTTCGACGACCGCGACGAGGACGGCCAGGGAGGCCACGAGAAGGAGGAAGAAGAGCTTCGCCGTCTGCATAGTTGGGCGAGGGGCTTGCGGTGTGGATGGGAGGGGGACAACACAAACAATGGTCGTTTCCTCGTTGTCCAGCCGTTCTGTCGCCTGGGACGGGGATTGGCCTGTACGGTAGCTCCTAACGCCCAGCCCACCCAATCGCCGGCCGCCACCTGAATCCAAGGCACAACACGCGCGGTTACCATGAGCACTGACGGGAATTAAATTGGGATTTTAAAGAATGTTTGCGTGGGAGGTCGGAGATTACTCAAATTCTTGATGCATAGTTTACATTCTATTTGGAAGGACGAACACAAAAACGCGTGCCTTGAGGGTCAAGCACGGGCGGCGAGGTAGGCGCGGAGCCCGGTGATGGTCATGAGCATCTGCTGGCCCATGGCCTGATCGACCGCTCGCGCGGGCACCCAGCCCTTGATGTCCGATTGCCACAGGAGCGTCACATGGACAGCGCCGCCGGAGTCCTCCTCGCTGCCGCCCGCGGGCACCATCACGCGAGTGCCGCACGGGTAGTTGTGGCCCCGGACCACGCCCCTGGCCTCGGGCCTGTCCTTGTGCGTCACACTGGCGCCCCAGGCCGAGATGACAGTGTGGGCGTCGTCGGCCCACGCCCACTCCCTGAGGTCCACAAAGTCGCGAGGCGAGATGACGCCGCCCAGCGCCGGCAGCGTGCGGCTGTAGTCGAGCGTGCGGCGGTCGGCCAGCTGCAGCACCTGCCCGCTGTCGGGGTGGAAGGCCTTGTCCCACTGCAAGCGGTGCACCCACTCATAGTAGGCCTCGAACACCGTCTGCACGGCCGCCGACGGCGAGGTCTCCGTCTTGGGCGCGTCCAGGATGGCCTCGCACTTCCACACAGTCACCCCGTCATGCACGCTCCTGCACACCACCGTGCTGCCCTGGAAATAATAAATAATATTATTTATTATTCGGAAGATTTGTTTGATTTATTTTATTAATTGCTTCACCAAATCACGAACCTCTTGCGTTTCGATCTTCCAGGTGAGATTGTCGAGTTTGTGTTCGAACTCCTGCCTGCACTTGTCCGACAAGGCGTCCCAATTCAGGGTGTCACTCATTGTTGTTCTTTTGTGTTTTCTTTTCTTGTGCCCGCCCAAGCCTTCGTTCGAGTCTTCTTGTGGTCGCTACTATAAAACCTATTCGTGCAAACCACGCGTACAACGAAATAGACCCGTATTTATTGCTGGCCAGGGGAAGGTGACGTACACCACTGGCGGGCACCACCACCGCGTGATGATGGTTTTGAGTCGCTGCCACATCAGCACACAGCAGAAGTGGTTTTCACACAATTTCCTTCTTTTTGCCCCAGCAAGACGCCAAGAAAAGAGGCCACAAAGTAAAAAAATTGAACACGCAGTAGAGCAACACGCACGCACAAAGATCATGCTAGAAGAAGTAGACGCCCCTCCGGGCATGCCGTTGGACTCTTTCCCTTCATCCGCACCCTCTGCCTCTGACAACTCGACGTCTTCAACCGGCGTAGCGTCATCAATCATCAATTCGCTGCGGCGGAGACCCAACAAAGCAGACATGGACTTGGATGAACCTCTCGACGAGGATGGTGCGCAGTGCCGCTTGGTTTATGCTCAAAGTTAACTTATTGTTGGAGGTATTGACCTTCTCTGTGCAGAGCAAGCAGAGATGATTCAGACCATGGAGCGTCAGAACTCGCAACAAGACATCTTCTTTCGGGTTCGCTTCTGGCCTCTTCATCTTCTCGCCTCGTTCTCTTTGTTACTGACACAGCAGGACACTCACGTGCTGAACGCACTACTACCACAACAACAGAATGCTTTCTTCCTGGTGTCGCTTGTGTTCAGCCTGCTCAAGCTCTACTGCGCGCTCTCGCAGCTGTTCCTACCGTGGCAGCTGCCCTTCCACTTCTACCTCGACGAGGTCTACCCGGTGTGGGTCGTGGCCCTCCTCGAGTTCGTCTCCCTGCTGCCCTTCGTCCTGGTCGGCCTCTACATTCGACCGCGCCGGGCCGAGGTGGGCACCAGCAGCGGCAGCTCGCCGACCGAGGAGGAGTCCTTTCACGGCCGCGTCATCCACAAGCGGCAGCTGCTGCAGTGGGCGCTCCTGCTCCACGTGCCCACCCTGGCGGTGCTGCTCGTCACCTACCTTTTCACGCTGCCCGAGTCGCCCGTCTCCGTGCTCCACTTCATGTGGTTCGTCGGCGCGAGCTTCGCCTACCTCGGCCTCTGTAAATACCTCGACGGGGCCATGCTCGAAGTCGAACACGGCGTCCGCAACCTCTACAACTACACCTACTCCTACAAGAAGGCCTGAAGGCTCTCTCTCTCTTCACCTTCTCCTTGCTCTGTACCTCTTTTCACACCAACACTTTATACAACCATTTCTTGCTCTCACGCACAAGGTGGCAGGTCATGTACCTCGTCGTCGTCTCCGTCATCATCACTATGTGGCGTGTTCGTTGTTCTGCTGGGCGAGGAGCAGGGCCGCATTGCGCCCGGCAATGACCGAAGCCTCCATCGCGGTGGCCACGCTCTCCATGGAGCTGAGGTAGAGCAGCGAGCCAGACTCGTCCAGCACCACCTGATGATGACGGTGACGACAATGACCACGATGGCGAAGGTTGAAGAGAGGAGCGCGTAGTAGAATAGATGGGGAAGCGAGCGTACGGGCTGGTATTGGCTGGAGTCCTTGACCGGGCTGAGGTCGGGGAACGTGTAGGGCCAGTGCTGGACGTGGTACGTGGCCAACTTGACGAACATCCTCTCCAGCGTGGACGAGGTCAGGTTGACGTTGCCGAAGATCTTGAAGATCACGTTACCGTCGGCGCCCTGTTGTGAGGCGTGAATAGTTTGAGGGACGCGTGGTGTGGTCCACAACCAAAAAGAGTTGATGTACGTACGAGCGCCTCGGTTTGGATGGAGTTGAAGGGTGCGGTCGAGTTGTCCGAGGTGAGCACGTACGATGGGGCCTCGGACGACGGAGGCAAGTTGAAGTAGGTCGGGTTGATGGTCTTGGCTGCCACGTGCGTCACAAACCTGAGCTCAGCACAAAGGAGTCAAGTCTGGAGTAGGCACAGTTGTGTCGTGTGAACGGGCAGACAGACGGCACCAGTGGCTGTAGGTTCGCGGCGTGATGGGGGGAAGGGTGATGTTGACGAATTGAAGAGATGAGAATTCGATGGGTGCTGCGAGCACCACACTGTCGAAGAGCTGTTCCTGCTCCTTGGGCGAAGCAGATGCACCACCATCTGAGGCCGGCACGGTGGTGACCGAATAGCCTGCAGCCAAGGGACGAGCGATCGTCAGCGCGGACCAGCACAGCCAAGCAAAACTGAAGAAGAAAATGAATCAAGCACAGCAGCGGCACTCACCGTTTCCCACGCGAGCGATTCGCGTTACTTGAGTGTTTAGGTGCACATCAGCGCCGGATTTGGCCAATAGCTTCTCCACCAAGAGGGAGTTGCCTGCCACGTCAGCCACATCTCTCGGCCCAATCATGAGTGTTCCACCCTTTGAGAGTGCTAGTTGCTGACAGGGACAGACACGCACCCCCTTCAACAGTGTACGAGGTCGTAAAGGCCGAGAGGAGGACCACCATTCCTGCAAACGCTGCGACAAAGCGCTAAGCGGAGACACAGCGCGTGCGTGTGTGCGTGCGTGCCAGGGAAAGTACAGTTAATCTTGAGATCCTGGTCGTAGATGACCCGCGAAATGGGAATCCAGTTGCGCCACACGAGATCTTGATCGATGCCGTACTTCTTGACCAGCTCGTTGCACGACAGCAGCGCCCATTCTGAATGCAGGAGCCCCTCTGCGGTCAGCTGTTGCCATGTGGCTGCGTTGTGCTGTGGGCTGTGCTGCGCGCTGGAGAATCCTAACGTACGTTCGAGACCACCGTAGCGAGTAAACTCGCCGATGGAACGAAAGGCGTTGCCAGACCCGCGCTCGAGGTAGTTGAGCCACAGGTTGGCTCGCAGCCACTCCATCAGCCCCAGCAGCTCCGCCTCGCCGATCCAGTTGGACGACGTGGCGTACCACCTCTGTCCGTCCCACACCTCCACCCGACCTGGTGCGGTTGTTACACAGCAAGTCCCATTCAAGGCCCTGAGTGATCTGCGTAGAGATGTGCGCACCATTGCCCGAGTAGCTGGTGTTGTCGAATTGGATGTTGAGCTCTTGAGCGAGTTCGACCATGTAGGCGTTCACCTGCGACCAGGCATCCCCACCAACTGCGCGATAGGCACACAGAAGCGATAAGCAGGCGACCTCGTCACGCACAACCGAGAGGAAGAACAGGGAAGTGCCTTCGACAGTGACGCCGTCGAGCACTATGTGCTTCAATCGGCCACCGATGTAGTCGTTACGTTCAAACACTGTTATGCTCGACTCTGTGCAGAGCACCCACCATGAGATGACTCTCAACTGCAGTAGCTAGGAGCGAGCTGTACGTGGCCTCCATTTATGCAGATAGTAGGAAGTGGATGCTCCCCCGATACCAGCCCCCACGATCGCAACTTGTTGACTCTCCACCCCCTTCCCACCACCGTATATCGGGTCAGCCTTCTGAAGGTTGTCCTTCAGCAATGGAGTATGCGTACAGGAGTGAGGCTCAAGAGCGCCACGAGTGACAGCACAGCTACGGTTGCATACAAGGCTGCCCGCAGCAGGGGGCTCTTCATCTTTTGCTCTCACCGTGACCTTCGCGTGGCCCTGCAGCTTTTTGTTTTTGTTTTTTTTTGCATTTTTTTGAATTTGGTGCGTTGGGATTTATGCAACTGGCCGACGCTTGGAAGCACGCCTATTGCCGGCGTTCACGGTTGAGGCGTGGTGCCGCGTGGTCCAGACCGTGCGCGGGGCACGTGCACGAGTTGCGAACAGGAAGGCGAAAATTCGGTCGCGGGGAGAGGAAGAGCGTATGCCATTCCTTGAAGGCAACACAACCCGCAACTCTGCGCGGCCAGCATCCTGCACGTAAGCTAAGATGGAGCGCCGCTCGTTTGAGAGCGATCCACTGCAGCGACCAGATGATCCAGAGGAGGAGAAAATCAGCTTGAGTTCAGCCGATGAGTCGTCTCGCAACGGCAGCCGAGATGAGCTGGTGGTGCAGCAGAGCCCGGCGTCCGTGAGAAGAGAGCGACGATCACCTGCACCCGAGGAGGAAGAGGAGGGGGAGGAAGATCTGGAAAAGAAACGAATGATGAGCGAAAGTGAGGGAGGGGACGAAGATGTGCTCGAATTCGGGCACACCACGAATTGCTACTCGCTGTTCGTGCAAGGCGCAGTCAGCTACTTCTACGCTCATCGCCACCGCCTTCGCGGGGTGCTGCTTGCCAGCACGCTGGTAGCTGCACTCCTCATTATCGCCGTTCTCTTCATCTCCATCTACGATCCTGATGCCGCCACCACCGAACGCAGCAGTACCATCCAGCCCAATTTTCTTCACATTATAATCGTCATTTAATCACTACAATCAGAAATATGAAATGAAAGTAATCATATGTGGCGTGTGCGTGTGCAGCGGAGGACATCTTTATTGCCACGATCTCTACGGGTGTTATTAAAGAACACTTGCACGCGCTCACCAAGGAGCCGCACGTTGCTGGCACCGCTGCCGACGATGCGAATGCCAAATACGTGCGAGACCGGTGCGCGTTCTTCCTTGTGGCGCGTGCTACAGGTGCAACTGACCAACCCGTGCTGTGTGCTGTGCGTGCGTGGTGTTTCACAGATTGGAGGCCTACGGCATACAGGACGTCCACATCGAAACGGTGCCCGTCCTGACGAACATGCCTGTGCGAAGGGTGGTCGAGATAGTGTATCCCGACAACCTTCGCTTCCAGGCCTCGCTCACGGAGCCGGTATGCTCTCCCTTCTGTTCTTCTATTCTTTGTTGATTCAGACTCGACGTTGCGAGTGTGTTCCTCACGCGGCTCACATCGGCCTAGGCTTTTCCCGAGGACCCCCGAACGCAGAACCCCAACGTGGTGCCCACCTTCAACGGGTTCTCTGCCAACGGAAACGTTACCGCGGAGCTGGTCTACGTCAACTATGGACGGGAAGAGGACTACGCCTTGCTGGCCCAGCAGGTACACCTGAAGTGACCATGCCGTTAAAGATGTCATTGTTGCGTACGCGGGTGGAGGCCAATGCCAGTGCGCTAACTGGTTGAGCGTTGTGTCGTGAAGAACATCTCCGTGAGCGGCATGATTGCAATCGCTCGGTACGGCCAGGGTTTCCGCGGGAACAAGGCCAAGCTTGCTGAGGAGAAAGGTAACACCAGCACATTCGCGCCTTCGCTTCGCCGTCTCACTTTTGCTTTTGAAGAGGAACTCTAATCATGCGACATGCACCCAGGCGCTGTCGGGCTTCTCCTCTATTCTGATCCACACGATGACGGCTTTGCTCTGGGCATGGTCTACCCCGACGGCCCCTGGCGACCGGCGGAAAGCGCGCAGCGGGGGAGCGTCTGGGAAGGTGCGGTGACACAAAGCCTGGCCTTTGCACCCTGTGGCCACACAAAAACCAACGCCAACACCCAACTCGCGTGCTTCCTTGTGTTGTTGCAGGTCAGGGTGACCCCTTGACTCCTGGCTGGCCTTCGACGCCAGACGGTCCGCGTCTCGACAAGGCGCAGGCCTACAACGAAGACGACCCCAAAATGAAGGTGCGTGTGCGGCTTGCGTAGCTCTCATTCCATTTTCTTGCATTCGTCTCACCATGCGACCATGGTCATGTGCAGGGCTACTCCACATTGCCAAAGATTCCCGTGCAGCCTCTGTCGTGGGCCGACGCGCTGCCCTTGCTCGCCGGCCTCCAAGGGCAAATACCCTCGGAGAGCTGGCGAGGAGGTAATACCACCCATGTGCCGCATACACCACTCACTTGGGTCAACTGACCACACACACACACACACACACCACACCACAGCACTGAACGTCTCGTATGCTGCGGGTCCGGGTCCTGTGCGAGTGCACCTGGAATTGGAGTTCGACTACAGCACCAAGGACATCTGGAACGTCGTTGGTAGCATCCGTGGCCACGAGGAGCCCGACCGCTTGGTCATCATCGGTACTACCCTGATGGCTATTAAATCGTCAAAAGGCCCATTATTCCAACGTTGGCATCTGGTACTCAAATTGGCAAACACACACGACAGGCAACCACAGGGACGCGTGGGTGTATGGAGCAGGCGATCCCCATTCCGGGACGTCGACGATGCTCGAGATCGCGCGCGCCTTGGCCCTCTGCGTCGAAGGTGGCTGGAAACCGCGAAGGACCATCATGTTTGCCAGGTACGACCAATCTCTTTCCCCCTCGTGAGTCCTACGCGAGCTCACGCTCATCGTGTGTCGTGTGTCGCGCAGCTGGGATGGCGAGGAGTACGGCCTCTTGGGAAGCGTTGAGTTCGTGGAGAAGCACGCGCACATCCTGAACGCCCAGGCCGTGGCCTACATCAACGTCGACTTTGGCGTCAAGGGCACCACCACGCTGCAAGCCAAGGGTACGCTCTCTCCCCTTTATTCGCATCTATTTTTTTGGGGGGGGGCTCTTCGTCCACTCATCGACACATCGTTGTGGGTGGGGTGCAGGCACGCCGAATCTGCAGAGCCTGCTCGCCTCGGTGGTGGAGAAGGTGAATATGCCCGACGGGCGCCAGGTTCGCGAGGTGTGGGAGGACGGAAAGGTCGGCCCGCTCGGGGCCACGTCCGACTTCATGCCCTTCCTCCAGGTACCTACCTCCTAGTTCTCTCTTCCCCTTCTTCTTTTTGTTCTACATGAGATGGGCTGCCCCTCACACTCCCGCCATGCGCAGGAGATCGGCATTGCGTCGATGGACTTACGGTTTATCGACACCAACCCGCTCATTGGCGTCTACCACTCGACTTACGACACTCCCTTCTGGATCGAGGTGCGTACCTTTTACCCCCGCTCCCCGGGGGTCTGCGATACACCACTGACAGCGCACGCAACGCAGCATTTTGTGGATCCCACGTTCGAGTTCCACGCCACTCTCGGGAGACTGTTGGGCGTGGTCCTCATGCGCCTGTCTGGGGAGGCCATTCTGCCCTTCGACTACAACCCCTACGCCTCGCTCTTGCAGTACCGTGACCCCAAGCGACCACTTCGACACCAACCGACACCGCACTATGAACGATTTGCTCACTCGTCCATGATTGCGTTTCTGTTTTCTGCAGGGAGACGATCAAGCACGTGCAGGCGATTGCCCCCGAGCAGTTGGCACAGCCCTTGGCCGTTCTCGAGCAGGCCGGCCATAAATTCCAGACCCAGGCCAACGAGGTGATGAAGTACATTCAAGACCACCGGGGCGAGCTTAGCCGAGATGTGTTGGTGCGGCTTCCTCGGCGCTTCTATTCTTCACCGCTGCTTAGTGGATGGCCCCGGAATTCAGTTGTCTCTTTACTGAACGCTGGCGCTACCTATAGGGTCTGCGCATCGTCAACGACAAGCTCATGCGAGCAGAGCGCGGCTTCATTGAGGCCAGGTAATAAGAAGCTTCCCATTCTTTTTGAACGCTTTCGCTCTCTTGTGTGGTCATTTCGTGGGACTACAGCCAGTGTTGATTGACTGTTGGTGGTCCAATCCCAACAGGGGAACGTTGGGCCGAGCCCTCCTGCGTCACATCGTCTTCGCGCCCGCCTTGGCTGACTCGTACGCACTCTTCTCTTCGCTTCTCTCTTTCCTTGATGCAACAGTTAACATCGTTCCGAGCAAGCGAATGCTAACAACTCATTTGCATTACATTACATTACAGGGCGTCAGGCGAGTTGATGCCGACGATCACGCACTCGGTGCGATCCTCCGACTGGGCGGAGGCGCAATTCCAGATCCTGCGCACCGCTCAGATCATCGACTCCGTGCGGGAGATCCTCCGTGGGCAACCCAGCTTCAACTAACACAGTCCACAATAAGGGATTATGTCTTCACCTTTCACAAGGACTCTCCCGCCTTTGCAAGAAAGCCCATTGGCACATCCAGTTGGTGTGGGGGGAGGTGTAGAAACTGGGCCTTCTCTTTCCTGGGCGCACGGACTGTGGCGTTTTTTAAGCCCCGCTATGTGGATTGCAGTGAGCCCGACGGTTGAAGCCAAATAAAAGGAGCACAACCAGCACAAACCAGGACTTTCACACAAACGCCAAGAGAAGCAAGATGTCACAGGTGGTAATCACTCGAGGCCCGCTCGACGGCCAGAAGCTCAGCAAGACCATCACCGACGCCGGCAAGATCGAAAAGCTCCTCGCCAGAGCGGAAGCCATGCCAGCCCCCACCTCTTCTAAGAAGGTAGGCAGCTCTCCTTTTCCTCTCTTTTCCTTCATCTTGTGCTCGTGCTGAGTGTCTTCGCCCCCCGACCAGGTCAAATGGACGCATGACGTGGACGTAATGACGGTGCAGCTGCCCAAGCCCGTGGGCGTGTTCACCGATGGCGTGGTGGAGGTGTGGGGCGAAGGCACCCTGCGCGTTCCGGGCGAGACTTCGTATAGCTTCTACCCCAGCAGCGACCAGACAGCTAAGCTCGCGAGCGACGTGGGTGAGCTCTGGAACTCCGCATGATACAGGACAATAAAAGAAGGAGTATGAAATGAGTGGGCCTTTTCAACCACTATGATCGCCAGGCCAGGTTTGTAGTGCGCAATCCTCGACGTATCCATACAGCGGTTCAAGTCCAAGCTGAGACGCCTTCTCGACTACTGCACCATCGGCCACCTCGACCGCTTTGACGGCCTGCTCGAAACCTCCTACACGCACATACACACACTACACACGCACACGCCACAGAGAGGGTGTCTAAGAAGCGGCGTCCAGATGCACAGGGCCTTTCTTACGAAGGGATCCCCTTCCATCGCGTACGCTACTTCAAGGTATGGGACCGGGTGGTGTGCAGCGGCGGCCTTCCAGGCCACAGAGATTGATGAACTGGCCACCGGCGAATGCAAACACTTCCTTGAGCGCACTTCCTCATCCGGGAAGCTTCATGTTTTTTGCATTGTCATCACCACATCTGTACAAACCCGTGCCCACATCATGTAAACCATGATGTGATGGTTTAACTATCTTCTCTTCGGGGTCTCCTCTCAGCTGCGAAGCCAGTAGAAGAGGAGGAAGCAGATGCAAAACGCGATGAACGAGCCCAGGACGACCATGTCCCTGTACTTCTTCTTTTTGATCGAGCCCATGATCGAGTTGATTCCCGGCAATGAACCTGCGAGGTGGCGAGGCGATGAGCGACCAACATACCACAAACGTGTGAGTAGGAATGGACCAGTACCTCGCATGCCGGCGAGGGTCGCCAACGTGTTCTGGAGGAGTGACCTCTGGCCAGCGAGCTGGTCCCGCGCCTCCTGTGCTTGGCTGTGCATAAACCAAGCGGCGGTCAGCGACCGTGTCTCGCAGTTGCGCCCCAGGTGGAGCAGCGAAACGGGGCGAATGACGTACGCAATGAGCTGATCGGCGATGTGATCGACCCCGTGGATGGAACCCCGCTCCCGCAGCAGATTCTCGGTTCGGGAGTTCATGCCAGTGTTCTTCTTGTACTCGCTGTGCGTGCGTGCTCTCATCAGCATTTCTTCACGCACACACAGTAACTGCACTACCCCATCAAGCAAAGGATGCACGAACCTTATGTCGTCGCGCACAGAGAGCAACAGATCAGCGTGCTCTCGCGTCTGCATGATGTTTGCCTGTTGTTGGGTTGAACTCGAGCTCAATCAACAAACCACGAGGAGGCAGTGGACAAGGAAGCGGGCGTACCCTAGTCTTCTTGAAATCGAGCTTAAAATCGTGCAACTTGCCGCGGTGATGCTGCAGAATGTGCGGCAAGGCCACACTCGCATCGCATCGCGTCATCTTGTCATTGATTTCGGACAGCTGCGCGTTACAGAGTCTTTAGCTGAGTGCCTCTAGATGAAGGGAGATTGAGAGCCATACCTGGAGGAGCAGCTGATCAATCTCGAGAGCCATCGAGTTGGAGACATCTTCAGACCACGGGCTAGCGTTCAGGCTGTGATCCTCCTCTCGTAGCAGCGTCGAATGTGCGAAATTGGCACCCAGTTTTGAATACGACACCAATTTGACGTCGAGCATGCTCTCTAGTTTGCGTGCATCCCTCCTCAGTTCCTCGAGCGTTGCCATAATTCTTCTCAAATCGCGCCCTTCCCTATGGGCTCTCGATCAAGATCTCTTGTCTGGTTATGTCTTGTCTCGCGCGCCACGTCAGCGTAGAAGAGCGAAACCGACATTCGCCCGCGGGAATGTGCCACGCGTTGGGGTGGGGGCGAGGAATGTTGGGCGAAGTTGGTACAAAACTGGAAGATGGAGAGCGAAACGAGCGAGGTGGCTGCGTCACCGGCTTCGGAGGAGGTGCTGCAAAGGAGGGACTTGGAGGTGCGAGTATGCAGCCAACTCGCCAGCAAGTACGTTGTTGCACACCAAGAAATCGATATTTTGCTTGTGTTGACTCACCACGATGCCTGGCCTGGCAGCCTGCTCGGGTGTGATCTCTTGTTGAGCCTCTTCTTCACGGCACTGAGTAGCTACAGACGAGCAACCATCTGCCAGCCTTTCCCTTCCTTCTTCTCTACGGGGGCGTCGCACACAAAGATCAAAGAGTTTGATCAACTTGTACGTACAACCTTGCAGCTGCTCCTCACCTCTCGTGCCTTCCTCACGCAGCGGCGGGTGGGCAGGTAAATATCCTGCAAACGCTGCCTCCCCTGAGCACACTTGCTCGTGATGAGGGTACGCACACCTTGCCCCAGTCCTGACCCTTTGGCTTAACCTCACCGCCTGCCTCTGTTGGTGCCAACAGAGTCTGTGCACAAGCTGCCGCTCAAGTCGTTGCGATTCCTCGACTGGCTGTTCCACCCACCAGCTTTCCGATTGAAAGAGATCACTGTAGACGAGTTCAACGTCAAGACCTCCTTCCATTCCGAAACCGCTGGTGCTGCCCGCTCGGGCTCCCTGCCACAACACATCTTCGAGGTCGTCTACGACGAGTCCCCTTCGTCCTCCACTTCTGGCGCAGGTTCGTCGTGCGCACACATCCACATCATGCCGCTTCTCTACTCACCGGAATCACACACACACTCGCAGCATCGTTTGCCTTGGAAGCACTGCAGCGGTATCAGTCTGTGGCTCAGAAGCACGGCACGGTGGTGGGGTACTGATATAAACCTCCTTTCGTGCGCTCCTCCTGGATGACTGTGCGCCTGACACCTTTTTGAACACCAAATCACCACACAGGTACCATGCTTCGTCGCTCGAGAACTTTCACTCCATATTGTGGAACGGGCTCGACACCAAGTACTCCAAGCAGGGCCTCTTTGGCGAGGGTACGGCCTCGCTGGAGTGCAAACAAGTCCTGAGTGGACTCACCACATACATACGTAACAGGGATCTACCTCTCCACCGACGCCTCCGTGTGCATGACCTTCTGGACCTCGGCTCCTTCGTGGGAAAGGAGCGCGATCGGCCCTCGAGTTGGCCTTATTGCTGGATGTGAGGTGAGCGGCCCTTCTTGTCGGCGATCCTTCCACTGATGGGCATATCAGTGGTCCTAAGCCCTTTTCCGTGTGCTTGGTGCACAGGTGGCCAACGACCCCGAGTACGTGTCTCACGGCAAGCGGGAGACGAACGACGCGAGTTTACCCGAGCAGTATCTGCTCTCAAAAAGCAATGACCATGTCCGCGTACGGCACCCGCACCATGAACCACGCCGGCTACTCGCCTTCTAACTCGAGCGTTACCACTCTTCTGTTTAATCAGGTGAAGTACCTGCTCGTACTCTCGGAGGCACACAAGCCCAAAGCGCCGCAGAGGAAGATCAATAGGAACGCTCTCGTGATCTTCCTTTTCGTGCTTCTCCTCGCCTTTGTCGCCTTTCTCCGATCTCCCGCTTGGAAACGCCTCCGTAACAAGTGGCTCGGCCGCTGACGCCTTCAGCTCGCAATACAAGTGCAGCCTCCACCGCAGTAGTTAACCTACTCCAACGAGCGGACCACACGCACACACTCAACAGACCGACTCAGGTGCGCGAAGAGACAGTTGTCGGATACGGCCATACTGCGCAGAAAGCACCGCTTCCCATCCGAACAGCGAAGTTAAGCTGCGCCAGGCGGTGTTAGTACTGGGGTGGGCGACCACCCGGGAATCCACCGTGCCGTATCCTTTTGGCATTGCTTGTGCGCCTCTGCTTCTTCTCGCCTTCATTCTTTGCCCTAACTAACAGAACGATAACCACACGCTGCACTTATGCGTGAGCACCCAGAGAATCAAGGCGTGGGGCTGGCTGAGATGACGTCCTTGGGAATATTACTTCTTGGCGGCACAGTACTCGCCCACCTGAAGAAGGTGGGCATGCTGCTTGATGTTGTTCGTCTATAGCAGCTACCCAGCGGGTGCGAGATCCGGAGGCCAGAGGCACTGCACCGAGTTCGCCTTCACTGTTAGCCCGTCCATCCACTCGTCGAAAGGTCTTTCTCTAGCCCGACGGCAGGAGGGGCCGTGCGCACTCCACCACACCCTCTTACGGTTTTAAGTCCGAGCTGGCGTTTAACTCCAATCGGTGATGCGCACTGCCCAGACCCTCCGTATGTCGGCAAAAAGGGAAAGGGAGCCATGCACGGGTCACGTTGTGTATGCCTCTCATTTTTCGCGCTTTTTTTTATTAATAAAAAAAGCTCAAAAAAGAGGAATTTCAATTCGTAAACGAAAAGCTCGGAAGATTGGAGGATGAGGGCAGGGCGATCTCTGCTCGCGATCTCCTCAGTTCCCTCGAGCAGTAGATTTTGCGTTCCTTATCTGCGGCCTGCTTTCTTGGCGACCAGCGGCCCACTTCGCCCATACAGATTATCATTGATTGGCTCATCGGGCCTGCAACGATGCACAGCCTCCACGTTTGAGCGAAAGGGCGACGACTGGAGCTCAAAATCAAAGCAGAAACAGATGGAGAGGGAGAGGAAGGTGGCCAGCTCAGCAAGCGTGCACGCGCCCTGCTGGCGTGGGAGCGAGAGCAATGGCATAAGCGGCAGGTACGGTTGGGCGCAGCCGCACAAAATCTCCTGATCTCGCTAATGGCGCCATCCATTCTTCAGAAAGAAAAGGAGCCCAATGCGGAGCTAAGCAAAAACAAGATCTTCCGAATGACGCCCGTCGACTCCAAGGTACAGACTCGCCATTCTATTTGCACCACACGTGGGCAGTCGCTCACACCACATGCTACCGGACCAGATACTCGACTACATCGACCGCCTCAAACTGGGCAGGAGGAAGGACGAGCCACCACCGTCACCGACGGCAGGCGTAAGGAGCAGCTGGCCAAGGTCAGGACGGAGACCGATAAGGTGCGCACCGTCTCCATCGGGTGATGCTTACGATCGTCGACGATCCCTCTGCATTCATAACGTTGTGCGTGTGCGTGTGCGTGTGCGTGTGCTGCCAGTTGTGGGAGCGGAAGGTCACCTTCTTGGGCGGCGCTACTGCGAGGGAGTCCTTCCTGCCGGAAGACCTGCCCGAGATCGCGTTCATTGGTCCTGCTCGCTTCCCCCTCCCAGCCTTGTGGGCCACTAAGACTCGCTAACTCGAGACATTCACTGGTGATCTGCGCAGGAAGGAGCAATGTAGGGAAGTCATCCCTCATCAACGCCCTTACGGC